CCCTGCCCCCACAGACTCTGTGGAGACAGCAGAGTGCAGCGCGCTGAGTGAGTCCCCGAACCTGGAGCCAGAATTCAAATCCTGGCACCTTCGTTTCCTTATCAGGAGACTTGGCAAGTTAATTCACCTTTATGCACTTCAGTTTCCTCAATGGTAGAATAGGGATAAAAAAATAATATAAAATACCCACCTCAGAGCATCATTATGAAGAATAAATTAGCTAATATATGTAAAACTCTTAGAAGAGTATCTGGCAATTATTATTCATCTTTCCCATTCAGTCAACTTTGCAAGTTATTTTTAATGGAATCAGGAGAGGGAAAGGTGAGAAGAGAGAAGCGTGTGAGAATTCTGTGAGTCAAAGATGGAAAATTAATAAAATACAGATTTAGCATAATTGATCACGAACTAAAACCTTCTTTCCAAAACATTCAAGCAGCAAGCTTTCTTCAAGTACAAAATAATATGCTTAAATTTAAGCCCAAGTTATCATGTTTAATTACCATCATCTGAAACAAAGTATGTGCTGGTTCTTTTGAGAGGCTATAGGCTCCACGTAGTGCTGTCCAATAGAACTGTCTGTGATGACACGAATGTTCTCTAATCTGCACTGTCCAATATGACAGCCACTAGCCACATATGGCTATTGAGTATTTGTAATGTAGCCAATGTGACTAAGGAAATAAATTTTTAATTTTATTTAATTTTGGTTATTTTAAATTTCAATAGCCATACATGGCCAGTGGCTACCCTATTGGGTAGCATAGCTACTGGGGATTTGAGTATACACGCTCTTTGACTGGGCCCTCGCCTGCTCTCCAGCTCCTGGTCTGCTCCTTTCCCTCACCCCAGAAATCAACTCTCACAAGGCAGAACTGGTGTTTCACACCTCCACGGCTATGCATATGCTGGCCTCTTTGCCAGAAATGCCCTTCATCCCCAGCAACTTGCAAACTGCGTGAAAATCTTGTTCAGATTTCATTTCCTCAGGGCAACTTTCCCTAACCCCTCTTGCCTTACCTCATGCCACCTCATTAACACAATCCATCACTGCCTCCTCTGGGTTTCTCTGCCTCTGTTTGTGTTGCTCTCATCATCCTGTAACTGTCTTTTATTCTCAGTGATGCTGACAGACTATGGGAATTTTAAAGACCAGGTCTTACTCATCCCTTCATTCTAGTGATGTGTGCCCATCACATAACACATGCACAATAAATATTTGCTGAGTATGTTATTAATTTGTGATTGTGTGCAATGTTTTATTAAAATAAACTTCAGACTACTGACAACCCATGCATGATTATGGAAACTATAAAGGTCAAATTCTATTAAAAGGCCTATTTTCAAATAATAAAAACGTTTTTAGAGTCTCAGTTGAAGGTCTACTTATTTCAAGCCATATCAATATAACATCTCAGTACAAACCAAAGAATAGCAATGCTCCCTGGGACAATGTCCTACCTGTAGCTGCTCCTCCTAATAGTCTGGAAGTCTCTTGGATTTCAGAAACTGATCCTCTCATTGATCTGTCCCCAGCGCTTCCAGTGTCTTACCAGGGAGACATGGATGAAGTTGAAAACCAAGAAGACAAGAGGACCTGATCATGGACACAGCCATATGGGAATTCAAGGGTAACCGATCCTTGCTACACCCTCTACCCAATCCTACCTCCTAGAAGGAAATAATTAAAATCTTATCTATTGTGAAAAGTAATGATTGTGGGTGACGTGTCTGTTCAGTGACATATCCAAAAAAGTATTGTTTCCCTTATTCCTTAGCAAAGCTTTTGCTCAAGAAATCTTCCTTGCTTAATTACGTAGCATCTGCTGCAACACTAACCTGCCCTGAGAGCCACATTGGTTTATCCTTTTTTTAATCACAATTTTCAGCCTAATCATTTATTTGGGTTCACACACAAGTGTTGCTACAATTAGAATAAGCTCTTGACGGATACATTTCTGTGAACCTAATTTATATGAGATATTTCCCAAATACCAAGCATCTGGTGGATGTGTTTTACAAATGATGATCTTTCCTGCAAGAACTTACAGTTCAATATGACAAACGAATAAATACGCAATGACCAGAAATGCATATTTGTGGGTACAGTCATGGCAGCAGGGCATTGAAGGAATGGATTTCAGAAAGAACATGAATCTAAAGGACTTTATCTTCAAATCAGATATAGATTTGACTTTTGTTTTCTTATTAACTAACTGGTTTGTTATATTTTAAAATGCACAAACAGCACTTTCTGATGTAATGAACATTGATTCCACAAATGATGGAGTTCTTGGGAGCTGGATGATCATTTAGAGAAATCTCTAATTTTCCCACAATATTGACAGATTTTAAACAGTCTTTTCTCTGGTTTCCCTTCCCGTTGCCCAACATGTATCTCCCAGAATTTTAATCTAAGATGTTTCCAAAAAAGACAAAGGCCTAAGAGAAGTTTTTAGGCGGCTAATGAACACTGTGGGATAAATATCTTTCCCTAAGGTGCCCTAAATTTAAATATAGGGATATCAATTTCTTTTTTTAACTTCCTTCTAAAATCTGCCCATCTAGGAAGAACATTGATTAAGTCTAGAAATTACACACTATACATTATTGGAATTGCTTGTGAATTCTACTAAGCTAAGATGCACTTATTTGCAAAATGTGTCTGTTGCAGCTTGGAAAAGGAAGACCTGGCTTTCAACGACTATGTTCTGAGGTTAAAAATGAAGATAGTGACCTTAAGCTGCTCAAAATTTGTAAGGCTGGCATGCCATCTATCTCAATAATACCTAACAAGAACGTCAAATGGACAAAAACGGCTGTGGTAAGTGGGTACTTGCAGCTGACAGTGATTGCTGTATTTTGGGTGATGGGGCACAGCATTTCCATTAGTTGAAGTGAAATACAATATCCTGCCAACTCTAGGTATCAGTGTATTCAATCCCCCTGCTGTGCGTGTCCATTTTCTGTTGCTGCAATTAAAAATCAGTCGATACAAAGTCAAAATGTTGTACATTCTTCCCCTATCCCTTGCCCTGTCACTGCGTTTCCAGCTTCACCGGAAGAACATGTCACTATGGTAACCAATCCTCTGGTGCACAGACCAAGTCAACCTTTCTCGCCGGATTGCCAAGCAGAGCAACGAGGAATCAAAGCTCTCAATGGAACCACCAGAAGCCATGAATTCCATCCCCCTCCTTCTATGTGGGGTTAACCAATACCAGACAGGAGAGCTGTCTTGTTCCAGGAGATGCTCAAGGAAGGAAATCCAAGAATGTCCTTCAGCAAGTCGTACCAGTGTTTATCAGTCATTATTAACATGAATTCTTCCTCACATTTTGACTAACTTCCTACCATTCCAATTTTAATGGAAGCAGAAAACGACAGATAAAATAACGCTTTATGAATCTGAGAATCTGAAAACTATTATAAAGTCACCCGTGGTCAAAAACTATTCTGCTTCCTCTTGTTTTCCTACTTCTAAATCCAAACTGAAGTTGCTCTCTTCTGGAATTCTCTAATATCCTATCGATCTTTACAAAGTTGTAAACTCCAATGGGTCACTGTGCTCTAATAAAGAGCCTAACCGTGAAGCAAATGTGATGTTTGTAATATTAACACACTTACAACAAAATCAGCCAAAATCCCTAGTCATTCTACAGAAGCTGCAAAACAAACATTAAGATGGATCCTCTTTCTGGACCTACCTCACCTAAATCTGAATGGCTACCTAGACCATACCCACTGCTGGTCATTCTTAAACAATTGACCTTTTTTTCAAACTAACAATTTTTTCTTATCAATTTCAAAATTTTTATAAGTCAAAAACATCAGTTCTCACAAATAATATTTTAAAACAGCAGCAAACCTGCATTATAATATTGAGACATTAAGAACTGTTTTATATCTTGGCCTCAAAGACTTTGCAGATAAGAACATCATTTTCACCTTGCCGTCACCATTTAATAGTTGAAGAGAATGACACATGGGGGGGCGGGGGGGGGGTAACAAGACTCAAAAATTGCACCATATCGTCCAGGATGCAGCTACCAACGAACAGAATATATCTCCTTCTTCAGGGCAATATTAATATACATCTAAACAATATTTTAGTGGATTAATGGAACAGGATGGTCCCCAAAGTATAAATCATGCAAGATTTACAAATTGCATCAGATGAGCAGACTTTTAAAAATGTATGTGTTCATACTAAAGTATCAAATAAATTTTCATCATTAGCAAGTAGAGTTTGTTTTCGGTTTTGGTATACTTTGGATATTTTTTATATAAATCTTCTGAAAATAGTATTTTTTTTTCTCTGAAGTGCCCACTTCAGTGTTACCCAAAGAATGACTTTTTTCTGCTTCCTAGCCCTGCTAATATTCAATGCACACAAGTCACTTTTGTCAGCCAGTTTCTTAAAAGGAGAAATCAAGAATTGTGGTATGATGCTACGGGTCAACAGGCTTTGAGATGCAATAGGGCAGGGGCTGTGATTAACTGATGTTTATATGGCCAATGCCTGCACCGTGCCTAGTATAGTATAGCCCTTAGCAAACGTTTCTGCATGAATAAGGCCTTCTCTGTGAGATGTTTCCCATTTCCCTTGATGAATTGGTTCAACATCTGAAACACATTAAAACTAACAGTCTGTCTACCCCGACACATCACTTTTAAAGGGCTCTCTCTGCTAAAACCACAACGTTATAGATTTCCTTCCTTTTCAGAGACCGATGAAGCATTATCCTGGAAAAAAACCCTGGACCATGAGGTTTCACGGGAATCCCATCAGGCAAACGCAAGACCAGAGGCCAGGTAGAGAGAGCCTCCAATATCAGCTACTGGGGGGCAAGTTCCGGCCACTCCAAGGTTCAGCTGGGCCTGGATAACCTGACCTCTTGGAACCAGTAAACCTGATAGACTGGCCAGCGAAGGGAGAGGACTGCCGGGCCTAGAGGCGCCCGGCTCTCCGCAGCGCCACGCCTCGCGCCTCCGCTTACCTTTCCGAATGAGGGCGGCGATCTCCGGGTCGAAGCCCTGCCGGTGGCACTTTCTCCACAGACCCATGTTGGTGGAGTTGTACTGCCGGCTGCATTCGTCAGCCGGGCTCATGGCGAAGAGCTGCCGGCGATTCCGGGCCCGGAGGAGTTTGCCCTCCCAGCGGTCCAGGCGCGAGCGGCTCGCCCGGAGCGGCAAGTTGTTGTTGTTGTTGTAAATGAAGCCAGGGTCAACCCGGCGGGTGTTGAAGGCCTTGCACCTGTCCCTGTGCTTCCTGGCGTCCGTCTCGTACCAGTGGTCCGAGCAGATGGCCACGGCCAGCATGCCGAGGGCGCAGAGCGCTAGCGAGAGGCCCGTGTAGAGCAGTAACCTTCCGGCAGCCATGCCTCCGCTTCGCGGCTACACCATGGGCATGATCCGCCGCAGCCTCGCCTTCCCTCCGCGCGCCCGGAACAAAGCAGCGGGCGGCGGAGCCAAAGGGGGGAGGGGGGACAGCAGGGGGACCCGTGCGGCGGCGCCCCCTCGGCCCCCGCCTGCCGGTGCGCGGCCCAGGGACTGCGGGGATGGGGGCGGGTAGCTAAAAAGTTCTGATCCGGAGCGGCTCCGGCGAGCTCCTGGGCATCCTCCGGGGCAGGTGCAGCCTCAGGCGGCGGCGAGCCAAGCGAGGCCGCCTCCCGCCCCCTCCCTGACCCGCAGGAAGCAACTGCTCCCAACCGGCCGCGTGGGCACGCAGCCCGGCTTCGGGCGCCGCTGCCCTCGGGCCGGAAACTAAACACCAAGTGCCCTCGGCTGCGGTGAGGTTGCTGGGCTTTCTTTGTGCAGGGTGGCGACGGGACCCACTCTTCAGGCTTTCTTGGGGTGGGAGGTGGCGGCTATCAGGAGAAGCTGCTGGACCACAGGTTGAACCGAAACACCCGCGGTGCGGCCGGCCAGAGAAGGAACCCTCCAGATGCCAGGGCCGGCTGCCCAGAGTCTCGCCTGGGTCTCCCTCTCAGCGACTCTCCCGCTTCCGGTCTGCAAGCGAAGAAATGTTCTTCCTCTCTGGATCGGGGGTCTTTTAAAAATCTCCGTCCTCTAGTCACCAGCAGATCCCTTGCTCCGTCTGGAGAGTGCGCTGAGATCAGAGGCGGGCTTCCCGTGGGCGCACGGTCTCGGCCGACGTTTCCCCGCGAGCTCCCCGGTCGTCTGCTTCCGGCCTCGCCATTCAGGCGGCCCCTCGGTTCGACGGTGCGGTCACCGGGACGGCGTTATCGGACAAGCCTTGGCCCAGGGTTTGCGGCGACTGGGCGGCAGCTGGCGGGCGCTAGGGCGGGCTACGCGGAGAACGGCGCACCCGCCAGGGCGCACAGTGCGGGGCGCGCGGAGCTCAGCGCATGGCGCCTTCAATACCATGGACAGGTCGCACGATCCCGGCGCACAGCCTGCCCTGCAGCCAGTCCCCGGGGCATCAGGCCGCTCTCCCCAGCTGGGTCTTCTTGCTGGAGCGTCCACCTGGCCTCCTCCAGACCCACCTCTCCAGCGACGCCTCCGCCTCACTCCATCTGGCTCCCGGGTATCCCCGGGAAAGTGCTGCCCAGGTGCAAAGAAAATGCTGCAGGCACCGAGGAAAACAGCGGCCCCGGCCCTTCAAAACAATCCGCCCCCTTCTCCCGCCACCTGAGCCTTGGTACTCTGGCACCCCGTCTGCTCTGCCCAACTGGGGTCAGCCGCTCTCAGATTGCACCATTTTCTTCGCAGCCCACCCAGGAGCCGAGATGCCGGTTCACTCGGCAGAGTGAAGAGAATCCTATCCTGGCTTCGGTGTCCCACGATCAGGCTCCCGATGAGCAGTGGTCGCTGAGGTGAACGGGGCGAGGGTGGGGGAGGGAGGCTGGGTCGCTCGGCTTCCCCTCCCTGCCTCCTCCTCTAGCCGCGGCGGCTCCCGGGCCTCGCGGGCTCGGCAGGTGCTGGGGAGCGAGAGCCCAGGCTGAGCCCGGGGGGCTCGGGAAATCGCATCGCCCGGGTCCGGGCGCCGGAGGAAGCCGCTGCCGCGCGCGCTCGCTCGGGCGCCGAGCGCTGCAGCCTTGGCTAAAACCCACAGACGAGAACACGGAGCGCGCAGCCAAAAGCTAGTGATGTCATCCGTGCAACGTGAGCCTCATCTCTTATTTTCCTAGCATCCTTAAAGATAAACTGCACCATTTCCCAGGCATGAAATGTCTAAGCCTATTCTTTGACCAGGCAAGTCAATGGTGTCTAGATAAGTATGTGCCCAACCACATCCATATTTATACACGTATACATATATGTGGTATGTAGCATGTTTACATGCATTATTATAAATTTAGGAATGTTGCCTCTATCTTCTGTTTATCTCTTTTCAGTAGTGGCAAATTCCCTCTAATCGACTACAGTTAAAAGAAAAAACTGCTTGTTAAGGAGCGGCCTTCAGAGGGGCTGAGGAAGTTCTCTGCGTCCCCGGTTTGGGTCGCTGGTGTCTTGGACTGTATCGTATCTTTGTTTTCCCCAGAAAGCCACAGGCGCTACCTTGCTAGCTACAGGCGATTCCACGCACTGAGTGCGTCCGCGGGGTTATCATCACCAGCCCCAGGCCAGCCCTACGCCCGCGCCAGACACCCCGACACACACCCACCTCCAACGGCCACCACCTCCCTCCTCAGCAGGAAAAGAAAGAAGAAAAGTGGTTGCTCCTTCCAAAACAAGAGGTAGAGAATTTTAATAGGGGGCAGGGGGGCGAGGGGTGTTTAACAGATATTTTGAAAACGCTCGGGGGCTCGCCATTTGAGTAGGGGAGGGGGAGTTAAAGGAAACCTCGGTACGGGATTTGTCCTTATCTGGGTGGCGGCTGGATTTAGGCTCTGCGGGGGCTCTGGGAGGTAGTGCGGGACCCCAGACCTTGACCGGGTGGTCCCCAAGCGAGCCCGGCTTCATTCCAGCAGCCCCACCCCCAACCCCCGGCCCCGCTCACGTGAGACAGCGCCACAAAGGCTGGGAGCCTCCCTCCCAGGCTGAAACCCTGGGTTTTCACTCTAATGTGCACTCCTCATTTTCACCCTCACTCCAAAGTCGAGGGCCCGCACTGCTGGGTAAAGAGATGCCCTGGGATAAAAGAGAGCGTCCGGCACCCTGATCTGCACAACGGGGCCTTTGAGCCAAAATGAGCGCACCTCCACCATATTCTTTTTTCCTCCTTCCTGCATTCTGAAAACCGCCAACCAGGCGTCTCAGTGCCATCTAGTGGGGGGAGGGGCGTGCCTCACTTTTCGTCCCCGGGCGCTGCAATGGAATTTGCTGAAGGGACTGCAGAGCCTGAGGATGTCCGCGTGGGCCTTGGGGTGCCGGACTGGTCGAGGGGCTGTAGGCATGTGCCCTTTGCCGGATCCCAGTCTCCTGGGTTCCCTAGGACCATAAGGCAGAGCCAAGCGACTTTGGCCACAATGTCTTCTCACCTTTCTTTCTACCCTCCTCTTACCAGTTCTCCCTCCCCCAAGCGTGAAAATTTGGAAACAAGTGCAAACACTTCGCACACACGCAGACAATGTCTTAAATTTCTGGAGCTAATTTCTTCCGGAAAACCCAGAGCACTTTCAGGCTAACAGAATGCCTGCATTTGACAATAGGAAGGAGGCAGAAAGGTAAAATGACATCTACAAAGTCACCCAGGAAGTTGGGGCACAGCCAGCACTGAAGCCTCAGTCTCCTGATTCCCAAATCTCCTACTGCTGAGAACCAGCTGAAAGAGGTGCCCCTGAGACCTCTGGAAGTCCAGGCACTTACCCATTGGCATTGTGTACCTGTTCATTTTGTCCTTATCTTCTCTCCATCTTCCATTATTCTATCCCTTTCTTGTTCTTGCTTTTTAACTTTTTCTCTCTCCTGGCCTGGGCCTTCCTTAGGCCTGCTCCCAAGGATGTGCCTTGCCCCTCCTCCCATGGTCCTCCTCAGCTGTCCTGTGATTAGTGCCCTGCCGGGGGAAGGAATCCAAATGGCACACTGTCTTCCTCTTTTCTGAACATCATTAAAATTCTGTTTTGAAATTTTTGTCCTTGATGACATCCCAAAAAGCCTATGAAAGAGGTTGATTGAGGTCTCCTTTGAAGTGCAATTTTCTTGCACAGCCCTACACCATTTGGGGATGATCCTGGTCTTTGGAGCTAAAAAGATGGTGGATTCTTCCTCTAGACTATATGACTACATGACTCTTTTCTTAACTGAGTGATCTACATTTCTTCCCTCTGTCTTCTTCCAGTTCCTTCCACCCTGTTAGCTACAGCATCACTGTCTATGTATTTCCAACCTATTCCTTCCCATTTGCACCTGCACTGTCCTAGGATCATAGAATCTCAAAATCAGAAGGGAGTTTAGAGTCAACCACACAATAATGCATGAATCTTTCCTAGAACATCTCCCAAAAAGTGACTGACCAGCTTCTACTTGCCCACTTGCAGTGATGGGCAAATCACTCTCTCAGCAAGCACTCTGTTCCACTATTAGATGGTGTAAGTGATTAGACAATTTTTCCTTATACTAAGTCTAATCCTAGGCCCCTGTAATCCTACCCATGCCTTCAAGAAGCCCATGGATACCTTATTCTTCTTCTATATAATGGTCCTTCTCATACTTGATGTCAACCACCATGTTCTCCCTAAGCCTTCTTCTCTTCACACTAAATATCCCATATTCATTTCCTCCTTGTGCTTGCTCCTCCTGGATTTCTCATACCTCCTGATTGTTAGTGCTTCTTGTATCCAACAGTGTTCCTTGATCTAACAGTCATGTCAACCAAAGAAGAAGAAAATGTGGTCAGTCATGTTTTTACATGACCCATGTAGAGTTCTAATGATCCTCACTTCCTTTTCTAGGAGCCTATAAGTCATCCCTTTTGAATGCTAGCCTAGGATCTTGCCAAAAAATGACATTAAGATCATTGATTTGCAGTATGTGAAATCCACCTTTTTTAAATTTGGAATTCCATTTACTCACATACAACCCCTCCCCCTTTTTAAAGGAATGTTCACATTCTCCAAGCTTTCTCTAAGGTCAACAACAGAGATTCAGAGACATCATTAAAAGTTCTCTCAGTTTCCTAGGGTACAGTTCACCCAGAGCAGATAGATGCTTTCCTACGATTTCTTCACCCATTGTGAGCTGTCTTCAGTCATCACTTTGTTCTATCCTACATCCTACCTTCAGTCTGAAAATCACTCTCCTTGATGTTGTCAATTGGAAGCAAAATAAAAGTTAATGAGGTATGCTTTTCTTTGCCATCTATCAATATTACATCCTTTCTCCAGAGCAAAGACCCCTCTCTATATTCTTATTCCTGTTTTCCTAATTAACTTTGCACAGCTTGGATATTATTGAAACCCAAAAGCTATATTCCA